GCTGGAGGAGAGGCAGCTGGAGGCGGTGAGGGACAACAACCTGGAGCTGGTGCAGGAGATCCTGCGCGACATCGGGCACCTGGTGCGGCAGGACAGCGCGGCCGCCGAGCTGGCCCGCATCCTGCGCGAGCCTCACTTCCAGGTGGGGTGTGCAAGGCCCGCGCGTGCAAGGCGTGCGTGCGAGGGGGGGGTGCGCGACACGGGCGTGACGGCCCCCGCCGTGCGTTGCAGTCGCTGCTGGAGACCCACGACTCGGTGGCCTCCAAGAGCTACGAGACGCCCCCGCCCAGCCCCGTCCTGGATCCGGCCTTCAGCAACCAGCCCGTGCCCCCCGACGCCGTGCGCATGGTGGGCATCCGCAAGACGGCTGGCGAGAACCTGGTGAGCCCGAGCCTGGGGTGCTGCGGGGTGCTGGGGGTGCTGCGGGGTGCTGGGGGTGCTGCGGGGTGCTGGGGGTGCTGCGGGGTGCTGGGGGTGCTGCGGGGTGCTGGGGGTGCTGCGGGGTGCTGGGGGTGCTGCGGGGTGCTGGGGGTGCTGCGGGGTGCTGGGGGTGCTGCGGGGTGCTGGGGGTGCTGCGGGGTGCTGGGGGTGCTGCGGGGTGCTGGGGGTGCTGCGGGGTGCTGGGGGTGCTGCGGGGTGCTGGGGGTGCTGCGGGGTGCTGGGGGTGCTGCGGGGTGCTGGGGGTGCTGCGGGGTGCTGGGGGTGCTGCGGGGTGCTGGGGGTGCTGCGGGGTGCTGGGGGTGCTGCGGGGTGCTGGGGGTGCTGCGGGGTGCTGGGGGTGCTGCGGGGTGCTGGGGGTGCTGCGGGGTGCTGGGGGTGCTGCGGGGTGCTGGGGGTGCTGCGGGGTGCTGGGGGTGCTGCGGGGTGCTGGGGGTGCTGCGGGGTGCTGGGGGTGCTGCAGGGTGCTGGGGCGCATTGGGGGGTGCTGGGGGTGCTGGGGGTGCTGTGGGGTGCTGTGGGTGTTGCAGGGTGCTATGTACATTGTGGGGTGCTGTAGGCATTGTGGAGTGCTGGGGGTGTTGTGGGGTGCTGGGATGCTGCTGGGTGCTGGGGGCCTTGTGGGGTACTGGGGGTGTCACTGGGTGCTGGGGGCATTGTGGGGTGGGCATTATAGGGTGCTGGGGGCATTGCTGGGTGCTGGGGGCGTTGCAGGGTGCTGTGGGCGTTGCGGGGTGCTGGGGCATTGCAGGGTGCTGGGGGTGTTGCTGGGGCATTGCTGGGGCATTGCAGGGTGCTGTGGGCATTGCAGGGTGCTGGGGGTGTTGCTGGGTGCCATAGGCATTGCAGGGTGCTGGGGGGCATTGCAGGGTGCTGGGGGGCATTGCCAGGTGCTAGGGCTGTTGCAAGGTGCTGTGGGCACTGTGGGGTGCTGTGGGCACTGTGGGGTGCTGTGGGCATTGTGGGGTGCTGGGAGCATTGCTGGGTGCTGGGGGCATTGCTGGGTGGGCATGACAGGGTGCTGGGGGCATTGCTGGGGGCATTGCGGGGTGCTGGGGGCCTTGTGGGGTGCTGTGGGCATTGCGGGGTGCTGGAGCCTTGCGAGGCGCTGGGGTGTTGCTGGGTGCTGGGGCCGTTGCTGGGGCGACTGGGGGGCGCTGGGTGGGAGGCGTGGGACGCCGTGGCGGGGACACGGGTGCGGGGCTGACGCGGGGCTGTGCCGGCCAGGGGGTGACGTTCCGGGTGGAGCGGGGGGAGCTGGTCATCGCCCGCATCCTGCACGGGGGCATGGTGGCGCAGCAGGGGCTGCTGCACGTGGGGGACGTCATCCGGGAGGTGAACGGGCGGGAGGTGGGCAGCGACCCGC